CAGAGTGACATTCCTCAGCTGCTTCCCTTCGGCGACACCACCAAAACGCCACCTCTAAAGACGGTCTTTCCACTGGCGATTCTCTCCCTTCGCTCACTGTCTCTATCGATGCGGCAGATGCGGGCGATGGCCAAAGACTGGAGCCTGCCTGCGCTCTTCGGCGGCGCTGAAGAAGGTGTGGCCGAAGACTCGGCCACTGCTCACCCGCTGGAGCTCTCCTTCTCCGCCGAGCACCAGTTCCCCGTGAAGCCGCTCAAAGTCTCCGACCAGATCCTCTGCCGGCGGGTGAAGCTAAAGAAGCGCCACGAAATCGAACGCCTCTGTCGGGTGATTCCGCCGCTGATGAGGCGAGCCGGCGACCTGCGCCAGGTGATCGACTGCGGCTCCGGCCAGGGCCACCTCGACCGCATCCTCAGCATCGTCTACGGCTACCGGGTGGTCAGCGTCGAGTCGGACTGCGACAACGTCAACGGCGCCCTCGACACCGACGAGATGGTTCGGCGGGCGCTGAAGAAGAGCCGCCTAGCGGACCTGCCCGCGGAACGGCTGCCCACCAAGGTGAACGCCTTTCTCAGCGAGAAGGAGGACATTGGCGAGCAGGTGAAGAGGAAGAAGGGGAAGGAGGATGGGGAGGAGGGAACTGTCACCGAGGAGAAGCACCTGCTGCTGGGGCTGCACGCCTGTGGGGCGCTGTCGAATCTGGTGCTGGAGCAGTTTGTCAACGACCCGGCCGCCTCGGCCCTCGTCCTCGCCACCTGCTGTTACATGAAGGCGGGCGGGGGCTGCTTTCCCATGAGTCGCTTTCTGCAGGAGGAGAGGAGGGTCAACTTTACGCTGACCAGGGTGGGCAAGGAGCTCGCCTGTCACGCCATTGAGAAGTTTATTGGCAAGTTTGAGCGCAATGGTAAGTAGTGGGTGGGTGGACTTTTTCAACCTTTTGGTTTTCTATATAATCATACTCTAACATTCCTCCTCCCCCCATCTTAGAAATGAACTCCCTCAAAGTGCACGGCTACCGCTCCATCCTGGAGCTGCTCGTCTCCCGTTTCGACCCTGAAAAACGGCACCAGGGCATGCGAAGCGTGAAGATCGACTCCGACATGAGCTTTGAGGAGTACGCCCGCCGGGCGACCCGGGACCTCCAAGTGAACATTCCCCCAGAGGCGCTCGCCGACCCCGTCCTAGTAGGGCCCTGTCTGCGGCAGCTCGAGCGCCCGGTCATCTTCTACGCCGTCCGCCAGCTGGTCGCCCCGCTCGTCGAACTGCTGCTCCTGCTCGACTTTGAGCAGTACCTGGCGGAGCACGACCAGGTGGCCGCTACCTATCTGGTGCCGCTCTTTGAGCCGACGCTCTCGCCGAGGAATCTCATTCTCCTGGCGCACAAGTAGCGCAGAGTCAGTGTTAAGTGCTCGCCTCACTGATGGTTGTGTGAAATTGAGCTGTGATTAGACGTCGCATCAAATCACATCAGCTAGTGTTGCTGGTGGTGCTGGTGTGTTAATCTTTTGTGCCTTCTTCTTTTGTACTGCCTATGGAGTAAAGAGTACACTGACTGCGCGCAAAGTGGTTCACGGGAAAAAGATCCGTCGAGAGCACCTGTGCTGCTGCTGATGATGGCGGCGGTGGTGGTGACGGTGACGGCGGTGTCAGAAAGTCACTGACGACAAAAAGAATATGTGTGGTCGAAGAGAGCACTGGAAAAAGAAGAGTGCATCAGCGGGAAAAAAGTGAGAAGAGGATCCATTATCGGTAATCTTACTGCTTCTTCTTCTTTTTCTACCGTTCTGGGCTTGTCAAACGGTGTTTGTGTGTGTCTTTTTACCAGTGCCCGACTTTTGGCTTAAGCTCCGAGAAGAAGAGTGAGAGAGAACATGACATTTCAATTTGATTGCCGTCGAGCAAGTGGACGCTTTCTCAGATTTGCTGTGAAGTCATCGTTCAATACTCTGTCTCTCTCTCGGTCCCGTCACACTGCACACCACACTGTCAACTGAACTGTATTACCTAAGTGCACTTAGTGCAGGGCAGCAGATGCTGCTGCTGCCCTGCTCATCGGCTGATGCTGCAGCAACGGCGGCAGCAGCAACTGCAACGTCAAGAGAGCAGAGTGCACACTGCTGGAGCGACCCTATAATGAGAAAGAGAAAAAGAGACCAGACGATCCAGGATGCACCTCCTTCTCCTTCTTCTTCCTCTAGTTTGGCTTGACACCCGAATCGATCAACAAGTCAACAAGCAATTCGAAAGACCATTTCTCACTTCGGGTTCTGAGCCATTCACTTTGTCGTCCGACACCAGACAGTCAAGCGGAGGAGAGCAAAATTGTTGGTTGGCTTCTCAGTGACTAATCTTTTTTATCTTTTTTTGGTCGAACATGATGCTCGGACCTCATCACCACCATTTTAAGGCTGCCATCAATCGATGTTTGGTTTGCGGAGATAGGGCCTCAGGTGCGTAGTGTTTTAAGTTACTTTTAATCGTTTATTTCTACCAAGATAAAATTTTTTCTTTTCTTTCCTTCTCTCAGGTCGCCACTACGGAGTGCTCAGTTGTGATGGCTGTCGGTGAGTGGTTAATGTTTGTTTGTTAAATCTGTGTACTTTTAACGGTCACTTCCTCTTTTTCATTCTTTTTCTTTTTTTCGTTCAGTGGCTTCTTCAAGCGCAGCGTCCGCCGACAGCTCAACTACCGCTGCAAACTGCACGGCGGCTGTCATGTGGACGTGAACACTCGCAACCAGTGCCAGGCGTGTCGCTTTCAGAAGTGTCTCGCGGGTAAGCTGGGCAAATTCTGTTTTGTTATGCTCACTGTTTTTGTTGCTAACCACTGCTTCAACTAACCATTCCCCCTGCTTCTCTCAATTAGTGAAAATGAAACCAGAGGGTAAATATTTGCAGCCCTTTTCAGTGCGTTTTTATTAATTTAATTTGACCATCGTTTCCGTTTCTGTCACTGACATAACACGATCACCCTCACAGCTGTCCAACACGAGCGGGTCAACAGCAGCAGCAACGGCAGCGGCGGCAGCTCAGCCCGTGCGGCTCACTCTTTGAGCAGCACTTCCGCTCGAGGGAGCAGCACTTCAGCATCGTGGTCAGCAGCGGTGGCCAAGTGGCCCACTTCCTCCTCCACTTCAAAATCTGCAAACTTAAAAAACGGCGGCACTTTAAAGACTACTGCCACTGCTGAAAATCTAGGCAACAAAACGGAAAGCACTTTTTTGCCGTCTTTTGACAGCAGCAGCAGCGGCATCAGTTTGAAGCCAGCACAGTTGATCAACAACTGTCTGATCACCAGCGTCGGCTCATTAGCATCATCAGCCCCACAGCTTCCTTTGATAGTTGATCCAGAGGTGTTCTTTCCCGGCAGCAGCAGCTGTATCAGCCTCAGCAGCTCTTTAGCACCCTCCATATCGCCCATCACCTTCATTCACATCTACCATCTCATTTCGAACGTCGGTAAGTTTTTATCAACAATTAACCGCACACTTTAAATTAAATAATTTTTTTTCTTTTTTTCTCCAGTGGACTGGTCCCTGGGCAACGCCCTATTCCTGTCACTCGACCCCGCCGACCAGCAGTTTCTGCTGGAGAGCGCCCTCACCCGTCTGCTGCTGATTGACCTGGCCACCGTGCCCGAGCTGGCCGCCTCGCCCTACGTGCGCTACATCTTTGAGACGTACTTTATCAACTCCTCCTCTTCTAATGGAATTACTGAAGAGACATGCCAGGTGACCGAGGCGGTGCGCTTCATCGAGGCGCTGGCGCTCGATCGGACGCAGGCCGCTCAGCTGAAGATGCTCGTTCTCCTCCAGTCAGGTAAGAGAGTGGTAATTGAGAAAGCCGGAAAGTCACGTAACCTGAGCTGCTCTTCTTCTCTTCTCCCTTCCAAATTAACCTCCTCTTGTTCGGTCAGAGCGCTCCTTTCTCCTGCGACCCAATCTAGTCGCGTCGCTGTTCAGCCAAGTGCAGGCATCGCTCTACGCTGACCTGAAGCAAAAGGCGACAGCGCCGGGCGGAAGTGCTGGTGGCGGTAATTCAGCCTCTGGCCTGCTGGCCCTCCAAATTGGCCGCATCCTCCTGCTATTGTCGAACCTGCGCCGCCTGCGACCGTCTCATTTGGCGCCCATTCACGGGGCGCTCTTGCGCTGGATCAGAGCCAGCAGCAGCAGCAATGGAGGCAGTCAAATGACGGCCGCTTGATCACCGAGATCACGTCTCTGCAATGTCAATCAATCACAGCGTCTCATCAGGTTAGTTAGTTAGCCTTGTTAGATTATTGGTCAGTATTTTGATTGATTTAGGAATCGAAAATGGAGAAGTAGTGCAATCCCCACGTAAAATAATATAATGATAAAAGTTGGTTTGATTTTATTCAAATAAAATCGGATGCTGAAGCGAATTATTTGGCAAAATAAACTTATAGACTTTTGCCATTTCTAAATTGTTGAGTTGATATTGAGCTGATGAAGGTGGGGCAGTTATGATGATGAAAAGAAGGTCATAAAGTTGTTACATTTTAAAAGTGCTCGGAACAAGCGCTGGAGTTTTGTCAACCACTGGAGCGTCCATCGGCGAGCCAGATGAAATTCGTTTATTTCGCGAATCTTTTTCTCCTCCTTCCTTTAGAGGCTTAAATGATGTACTTTTTTTCGTGTTTTCGACTTGCGAATCTTCAACGTATTGTACTGTGGAGCCGTTCCGTTTGAACCACTCATTGAGCTTGCCCATAATAAATTTGCCCAACTCCGGCTTAATATGATCGGGCATCTGGTCTAATTCGCAAAGAAGGTCCCAGTATTCGTCAACGTTGGATTGATTCAGAACTAGGAAAAATTATTAATGGTTAAGATATCAAGATGATAAGAGCATAAAATGTTTTAAAATTGTCTTACAGAAGGTTTTCTTGAGATTTTCAATATCTATTGTTATTATGTTCAGCGGACAGCCACCTTCTTTTGAGCTGGAAACCATTGTTGCACACTTTTCCAAACGTTAGAGATGAGAGAGTCTGAAACAGAATTGATGGTGAGTGGATTTTTACTGCAAATGCAAAACTGGATCACCGTTTTCTGCTACCGGAAATGAATCCCCGAGTTCAAAGGCAATTTCGAAATTACCAGTCAGACTAGTTGGGCGCAAAGAAGAGCAAGTGTGTGTTTGCAAGGGCAGCGCGCGAGCTCGCACTTTTGAAGCCCTATTGGGTCGATCACAGCGCCACCTTGATAAGGACACAAACGACATCAGCAGTGAGTCATTTTCGCTGTTGTTGTTTTTGTTGGAGGAGCACCCCCGCAAACTGATTACCACTACCACCAGCTGCCGTAATTGAAAAGAAGAATATTCTTTTTCATTCATTCATTTATTCAATCAGTAATAATATAAAACAAAATCGAAATAATAAAGCACAGGAAAAACGAAAGAAAACAACCGTTGACCATAGTTTGTCTTTGAGAGAGAGAGAGAGAGAGAGTGAGAGTGAGAAAAGATATTGAGAGAAGAGGAGGGAAATAAATAGAAAGTACTAGAGCATTTTCAGTCCTCTGCAGAATGGGGATGGAAGTTTGTTGGTTTGTTAAAAGAAGTAGAGCTGAGTTGAGGAGCAAGGGGAGGGGGACTGATGGGAATCGATCGATCAAGGGTCAAACAACAACAGTTCGGTGAGATGGTGCAGATGAAATGTGTGTGTGTGTGTTTGTCTGTGAAGTAAGGTACCTTTTCTCCTCTTGTCACTCCCCTTCAGTCCTTTGCTCAGTGATGATTGCCGTAGCTGTTTCGCTGCTTCCACGATCCGCGATTACCATTATTGCCATTGTTGTTGCTGTTCCCACCACCTCCGCCTCCCTTCCAGCCGCGGTGATTATTCGGCCCTTGATTGCTGTTGGACTGTTGATGATGATGATGGTTTCGGTTATTGTTGCTGTGGTTTGAATATAAAGGGGCGGATGATGGGGCATTGTTGGGCGGGGGAGGCGGTGGTGGCGGAGGATGTAGGCCGTACGGAGCAGCGCTGTTTTGATGGTGGCTCCTTAGTTGAGTGCGAATGGGCCCGCCACCGACACCGAGCTGCTGCTGCTGCTGCTGAACGCCGGCCATCAGATGATCGATCATCAGCGCAGGCGGAAGTGGTATGTGACTGGTCGGGTGTGGCGGCGGGGGCTGCAGCTGAGAGAGGACGGCACCGGGAAAGGGCGGCGGAGCACCGTTTGGAAAGAAGTCCTTCAGCGAGGGCGGAAGGAGCGGAGGAGGGGGAGGAGGAGGCAGCAGGTTCTGGTAGGACGGCGGTAGGCCCATCAGATTGAAGCTGTTGTTGTTGTTGTTGTGGTTGGCACCAGCAGCCATTGGACCGGTTTCAATGGCTGATGAGCCGCCGTTGCCTTTGTTGTTTGACTGCTGTCTGTCGTGTTTGCCTCCTCCGTCCTCATCATCGGAGTTGACGAGATCCATGTCCGCCGGTTCGGTGTTCTCCGTGGATGAGTTGTTGCTGTTCTTGCCTGACTGGTGTGCTGCTGAAGTGCCATACAGATTACTAAAGTCCATCGAAGGGTTGTAGTATGGCTGGAACTTGGGATCGTACACCGTGTGAAAAGAAGTCGAGCGGTTTTTCTCCGATTCAGCAGAGCTGGAACTGCCACCGCCACCGCCGAGACCGCTAAAGGTGCCCGAGTTGGAGAGCATACTGAGCCGCTGGTCAAGAGAGCTGGTGGTGGCTGCGGCGGGGTTGCGCGACGAAGACACACTCTGTGCCTGTTGAATGCTGTTCATCACCGAGCGCAGCGTCGAGGTGGGAATGCTGTCGGCGATGGTGGTCTTCTTACCCGAGGAGCCCCCCAGGTGGGGAAAGGTGGCCTCCAGCTTCGCCTTCACCTGGCCGATGCCCAGCTCGCAGTTGCCAAAGGTGGCCGCCACCGCCTTCGCCTCCGTGTACTGCACGCCGTGGTAGATCTTCGTCTTCTCGAGGACGCCCAGCAGCTGGCGGCGGGCGAGCAGCTCCGCGTCGAAGGCCTCAATGGCCTGCCGACAGCGCTTCGCCGCCTCCTCGTACTCCTGACTGTACTGCTCGCCGTTGGACTTGTCCTTCAGCTTCTCCTTGAACTGCTGGTCGATGGCGGTAGTGCTGTTCAGCAGCGAGTGCACCGTCGGGTGGTTGCGGGCGTTCTCCGCGCTCGCCTGCGTCCCCTTCTCCAGGCGGGCCAGCGCCTCCACGCCCTCCACCACCTCCTTCAGCGAGTAGTCGGAGACGATCTTGGAAATGAGCGCCAACTTGCGGCTCTCGGCGCGCCCCAGCGGGCCGCGCAGCTCGTCGATGAACTCCTGCGGGTAGATCGCCCGCTCCGACCAGATGTTCAGTACCCGGCTGATGGCGGCCACCGTCTTCGCGTCATTCGTCAGCCGGGCCGCCTGGCGGAGGGCGGGCTTGAACTCCTCGAGGAAGCTGAGCGACTGCTTTCGCCGCGAGTGCTGCACGATGTCATTCGCCAGGTAGAAGAGGGCCAGCTGGTGGCTGCTCTTGGCTGGGGAGGAGAGAGAAGGAAAGAAGAAAAGAAGAAGAAAACAGAGTTAAAATGACACATCATCATCATCATCTTCAGAGTTATCATCGGTTATCATCAACCACAAACGCCACGCCAGCAGCACACTTACACTTTCGATAGCAGGCGAGCCACTGCTCGACAATTTGCTTGCAGTGGCTCTTGTGGTGCAGCACCCAGAGGGACAGCGTCTGAATGCTGTCCTGGGTGGTGGTCACCTGTTCCAGCTTCTTCACCAGGTTGCCCTCGTGGAACGACGTCATTCGGAAGGCGGTGAGGGTGGGGAGGGTGAGGGTGATGGCGAGGATGAGGATGATATGGTGATGGAGGTGGTGGAGGTGGTGACAGCAAAGAAGAAGATGATGATGATGATGGCGTGAGAAAAATGGCGCGCGCGAGTTGTTGTTTACGGCCTATGGCAGCCGTGCTCGGCGGTCATGAGAGAGAGAAAGAGAGAAGGAATGAACAGGGGGAGCTAAAACACACACCAGTCAATAATTGAACTCGGGTTGATAAGTGGTGATGATAGGTGGTGGTGGTGATGGGATGATTGGAAAGAGAGGACAGAATCGGGTTAATCGGAGGTGAGCCTGTGTGTGTTTACCAGGCCCGGTCACTGTCGTTTCTGTGTACGGGCTGGCAGGCACTCGCTCTTTCACGCACACACTGAGCGCAGGCTGCGAAAGAGAGGCAAAACAACGAAAAATGCCTCGCCAAAATGTGAGCATGTGCGCTGGCTGTGAACGACGGCGGCAGATGGCAGCGTTGAGCTGACGTCTCTAGAGAAAACCGATTTTCGATTTTTTTCACTTTGAGCAGAACTCCAGAGAATTTATCAAGCAAAAAAACGGGGACAGTTTTATTCAACACCTCTACACTTTTACAAAGTAATGATCATCGTTAAACAGTTGCAGGGTTTACTGAAAAAGGTGGTCGATTTAGTAAGAATCAGAATAAGAAATCACACACCACTTTTTACCTTTATTCAACGCCTTCATCATCAGCTTCATGGTTGCAAACTTGCCCTCGCCGCACTCGTTCTTGGGCGAGTCGAGGTCCACCGACCAGACCATGCTGCCGCCCAGTTTCTTCTCCAGCAGAAAGTCCAACTTCTTCTGGATGCTCTTCAGGTTGTCGTAGCTCACCCACACCGCCGACTGGTTGTTCGCCGCGTAGGGCACCTGGGCGATGTCGTCCCAGTAGAAGTTCCAGCCGTGCTCCTTCTTGAACTCCTCGCAGAGCTAAGAAACAAAAAAAAGAAGTTCAGGATTTTTGTTCCATTTTTTCATTTCCTAGATTGTTTTGTCTTACCCGGGTGTTCGCTCGCTGCTCTCGCCCAGTTCCATTAACGGGCGCCCAGACGCCGTGCTTCGTCACATCGGCCAGGTGGTAAATGTGTCCGTAGAGGGGCATGCCCAGAATCAGCTTCTTCGGGTCGACGCCCGCGCGGAGAAAGGCATCGACGGTGTACTGCATCGTCAGCTCCTGGTTGCGGGCGCTTCGCTTCGGGTCCGGGTACACGGGCGAGTTGTGGGCGGTGGTGTGGTCCCAGGCGCCGTGGTAGTCGTAGGACATGACGTTGAGAAAGTCCAGCACTGAGGAGACGGCGGATAGGTTGTAGGCGCGGCTGAACTCGGCCTTGCCGGCGGCAATAGCCGCCGTCACCAGGTACTGGTGCGGCTTGAAGGCGGCGCGCANAAGAAAAGTTTTATCAATTTCCTTCTTTCCCTTAGCTCCTTACGTAGTCCTCCTTGTCCTGAGCACGGCCAATGGTGCGGTCATCGCCGCCGTCGCCGGAGAATCCGNTAGGTTGTAGGCGCGGCTGAACTCGGCCTTGCCGGCGGCAATAGCCGCCGTCACCAGGTACTGGTGCGGCTTGAAGGCGGCGCGCATTTCAGTGAGTAGGGTGATCTGCGAAAACAGGGAAAAATGTGTTAAAAAGAAAAGTTTTATCAATTGCCTTCTTTCCCTTAGCTCCTTACGTAGTCCTCCTTGTCCTGAGCACGACCAATGGTGCGGTCATCGCCGCCGTCGCCGGAGAATCCGGGGTACTCCCTGGAAGGAAAAACCTTTTAAAAACTTGATAATTTATTTGTAAGCAGTAATAATACCAATCCAAGTCAAGGCCGTCAAAGTCGTGCTGCTTGATAAAGTCCACCGCCGACTGAATAAAAGCTTTTCGGTTGGTCTCAGTGCGCACCATCTCCGAGTACTTCGTGGAGCCCTCGCCCCAGCCGCCAACGGAGATCATGATCGTCAGATGGGGGTTCTTCTTGCGCAGGGCAATTGTTCGGGCGATCATACCTTTTTAATAAAGAAGTTGGTCAAGTTGTATTGAAAGATGATAAGAAAGTTGAATTTAGTGGGGTTACCATGAGGTCCGACGTCATGAGAAGGATTTCCAAGGTGAACAGTGCCATTCTGCAGAATGGCAAAGGCATAGTTGATGTGCGTGCAGGTGTGCACGTCCAGTTCTTCGGCGGGAAACTAGAAACAAAAACCGAGATTACTTTTTGTCGCAATTTTTAAGCACACAAAAGCTTACTCCAGGTTGATAGTAGCAAACCACCTTGTACGGCAAAGTGTTTCTCTCTACATTGACAAAAGAAAAAATTTTGAAGTTTAAAAACAATTTCTGTTCTAGTTGAAGTTTCCATTGCCAAACCTTTTGCCAAAACTAGTTCACTGCCAAAGGCAGCAAATGTAGCCACAATAAACAGGGCTAAAAGTTGAAATTGCAACTTCATTTTAAAACTGTCTTTTTTTATTAGCGTTGTCACGTTTCAACTTTTTTTGTTGGTAGTGTTGATATTTAATTACAACAGCAACAGCAACCGATTTATATGCAGCTGCTTTACCCAGCAATGCCAAACATTATGTCTGCACTAGTAGACTTTGTAACGGCTTTTTTGTCTCTCACTAATTAACAAAGGCACAAACATCATCATCCGTCGTTGGCAAACACTCACACTCACTCACAAACACTTTGGTGAGGTTCGTTCACATGGGAAAGGATACTCAGGATAACGGAGATCGATGGGATGCGATTAGATTGTTGATTCACGTTGTTATACAAAACTGTACAAAGTTGGTACGTCGGCGGTGCTGGTACAAGTGAAAATGTTTTGCTTAAGGTGGGCACCAGGAGGAAACGGACCGCTAAAGTTTCAGTTTTTGACAGTTGATAGTTGATAATGCTGAAAAATGACTAAAGTTTTGTACCAGGACTTTGATGTTTTTAACGATTTGAATTTTTGAATTTTTTGCTTGAGAGCTTCGGTCGCCATCTTGTGGCGCCCACCAGTATATCTCATCAGCTTGTTTACAAAAAATATTCTCTCTTGAACATTCTTCTTTCAGCGCTCGAGCTTCGAGCATCACCAGAGCTTACCAGCGGAATCGGATCACCACCAGCAGCTCTGCTGCCGATGCTACTCAGCCAGAAACTTCCACCACCACAGCAACCAAGATGATCCTCTCCAAATTGGCCATGGCCTGCCGTTCACCAGTGGGCCTTACCGCTAGCGTGGGCCGACCTATTCTGCTCCACTACCGGATCAGCGTCGTTCCTCTTGGGGGAAAAATGCTTCCACATCAACTGCAGCAACAACAGCAATTCAGTCAGCTTATCCGTCTTCGAACCCAGATGCCAAACAGCAACGCCGTCGTCAACAACTTTGTTCGGATCACCAAGAAGCGCAACGGCTCGTTCTCCATTACCAGTTTGCGCTTCTTCCACAACAACAACTCCTTCGTAAAGCACAAGGAGAAGTACGCGGGCACCTTCATCGAGCAGCTCCTGCTGGTGATCATGATCATCAGCTTCTCCTCGCTCATCGTCGACTACGTGTACGTCTGGGACCGGTGGGGCCCGGAGTGGATCAAGAAGTCCATCAGCGTCTCCAGTCGATACATTCTCGACCACATGAAGGCCTTCTGGGGAGTGCGCAAGGCGGACTCGCTGGCAAAGGATGATGGTGGCAATGGCAATGGCGGCGATGGTGGTGGTGGGATTATCACCGAAGAAATGGTGGCCAACGATGACCAAGAAAGCTCCCCTTCTTCTGCCGCCGAAGAGGAGAGCCAGTCAAGGACGGTCGTCGAGGAGAGCGTTCTCTCCAATGTCCTCTACTACTTCAACGTGGCCAACAGCGCTCGAGAGGCGGACTCGGGAAAAGGCGGCGGCTTTCGCGACAAGAAGATCATCGAGTACGAGAACCGCATTCGCCTGTACTCCAATCCGGAGAAGATTTTCCGCTACTTTGCGTCCATTAAAATCGTCTACAACAATGGCGACTCGGAGATCTACATGACGCCGGATGACTTTCTTAGGTAAGCTGAAGTGGGATTCTATTTTTAGAAACTGACATACAACTGACATTTATCTTTTTTCATCCAGAGCCCTGACGCCAGGCGTCAAGCAGCCCGATGGCCTCGGCCTTGACCAGTTTAAAAAGATTGACCTTTCCAAGGTTCGTTTCAAGTAGCTAGCTTCTAGCAACAATGTGTTTAGCTTTGCTAATTGCTAATTTAAATATTTTCTTTCCATTGTAATTATTATAAATCACTCGACTAATCCCGACCTCATCCTCTCTTTCTTTCTTTTTCTGTGCTTTCTCCCGCCATCTCTTTCACTCTCACTTTCTATGCCGCGTCTATAATATCCTCTAAATCTCGCTCTAAATGTCGCTCACCACTTCTTTGTTTGTGCTAAATGTTCTAAATGTTCGCACATTGATACCTACCTACATCAAACGCTCACAGAACGCTACCGAAGAATTTGATATCGATCTTTCTTCAATGCTTAATCAAATGTTTCTAGCTGTGAGACAAAACAAAACCATATGCTGCTATAATCAATTTAAACATTTCAGCATTTTATCTTCTTCTCCAGCTTTTTGTCCACCAGCTTTTTAACTGTGTGTTTTCCCATCCTTCTCTTAGGGAAAGAACGATTTCAAGCACGACCTCAAACCGGACAGCATTTTCTACAAGCTCAGCAAGTTTGGGCTGATCAACTTTTCCGACTTTCTCTTTCTCCTCACCGTCATCTCAGGCAAGGAGAATTCCTATTTTGTCAACTATTCCGTATTCTATGTCTTCTAATTTAATTGTCTCATTTTTTGTTTGCAGTCTCGAGGAGGCACTTTGAGATTGCCTTTCGCTTCTTCGACGAGAACGGCGACGGCGACCTGGAATTTGAGGAATTTGAAAAAGTGCAAAACGCCATTCTCTCGCAGACGAGCATCGGCCAGAAGATGGGCAAGTCGGTGCACTACAAAGGTCGGGGGCGGGCGCGCCAGCATTGTCAACATTGACACATTTTACTCACATNATTCCTATTTTGTCAACTATTCCGTATTCTATGTCTTCTAATTTAATTGTCTCATTTTTTGTTTGCAGTCTCGAGGAGGCACTTTGAGATTGCCTTTCGCTTCTTCGACGAGAACGGCGACGGCGACCTGGAATTTGAGGAATTTGAAAAAGTGCAAAACGCCATTCTCTCGCAGACGAGCATCGGCCAGAAGATGGGCAAGTCGGTGCACTACAAAGGTCGGGGGCGGGCGCGCCAGCATTGTCAACATTGACACATTTTACTCACATACCGCCTTAAAATTAACCATAAACTCCTTCTTCACTACAGGCGTCAGCTCCGCCGTCAGTCGGTACTTCTTTGGCGCCGACCTCAAGCAGCGCCTCACTATCGACAACTTTATCGACTTTCAGCGCAGCCTGCAAAGTGAGCTGCTCAATCTGGAGGTATTTTTACTATTAACAGCTGAAGAAGAAGTGATGGGCCATTGTTCTCTTTTATTGTTCTCACCCTTTTTATCCCTCACCTCCTTAACAGTTTGAGCGAAAGCACCCCGACGAGAGCGGTCGCATCAGCGAGACGGACTTTGCCGAGCTGCTGGTGGCCTACGCTAATCTGTCGGAGAAGAAGCGGGAGCGGATGATCCGCCGGGTGATGAAGAAGTTTGGCGGCGACAACACGCTGGGCATTACTATGCCCGAGTATCAGAACTTCTTTCGGTAACATTGCTGCTGCTGCTCACATTGGAGGTTTAAGCTTTTTATTTGAAAAAACTCTCTTTTCCTTTTCTTCACTAGATTCCTCCAGAACATCAACGACGTCGACATTGCTCTGACGGTGTACAACATTGCCGGCGCCTCCATCGACCAAGGTAGGTGGCGGTGGTTACTACTGTTGTTGTTGGTGCTAAGACAACTCTTTCAGTTGAATTGAGTTTGAGTTTTTAAACATTGCCAAGCAATGTGCAAGCAGTGTCAGTCACAAAGTTTTCTAGTAGTAAACTGCTTTATTAACCCGTTAGGTGATACAGCAGCAGCAGCAGGACTAATTAGCTAAACTGTCCCCTTTTACAACCTCTGTTTCAAGTTTGTCTCTGCCTGGCTGACTGCAATTTTTAAGGTTTGCTATGTTGCTGGGGAGCTTGATTATCGCCCGAGATCATCTTCAGCTCTTTGGTTGAGTTGATTAGTGAGCAGCAGCAGCAACAGTATTGGGGGAAGACAGGTAAAGAAGCTCTCCCGAGCTCCTCTCTATGCTCATTAGGGAACAGTGTCAGTCTCTGTCAGTTTCGGTGGAGCGTGTAGAAAGACTACCACCACCAGCACCGCGACCACTTTGTTTCACTTTACCGTAGCTCACTCACACAGTGGCTCGCACTGACTTGTGCAGTCATTAGTGCCGAATGACAAACAAATGGCGCTCATTAGCGCTCTGCTGTCTACTGAACAGCAGCAGCAGACAATGAAAAACTGTCCTAACTGTCATAACTCTTTTCTTCTCTTTCATCTTTTCCTCTCCCTCTCCCTTTTCCCCTTTTCCTCAATTCATCACACACACGCACACGCACAGCCACTTTGAAGCACGTCGGGAAGACGGTGGCCAATGTGGAACTGTCCGATCACCTGGTGGAGGTGGTCTTTACGCTCTTTGACGATAACGGTAAAGGCGGCAGCATTTCTAATCATTTTATTTTGCTGTTTTTGTTATTTTTCAATTGGAATTGTTTTGTTTTTCTTCCTCCTTCTTTTCCCTAAATTCCGCTGGCCTATCTGGCTTTTCTAGAGGATAACCAGCTGAGCAACAAGGAGTTCATCTCGGTGATGAAGGAGCGCCTGCGCCGGGGCCTGAGCAAGCCAAAGGACACTGGCTTTCTCAAGATAATGGCCACCATCTGGAAGTCCCTTACTTCTCTTGACTTTTAGCCTGTCACACTTTGCTCACAGCTTACCATCATCGCCGCCACTCTCCTTTGCTTGTTGGTTTGATGTGAATTTGTGAGACACACCAAACTCGGTAANACACTGGCTTTCTCAAGATAATGGCCACCATCTGGAAGTCCCTTACTTCGCTCGATTTTTAGCCTGCCACACTTTGCTCACTACCATCATCGCCACCAGTCTGCTTTGCTTGTTGGTTTGATGTGAATTTGTGAGACACACCAAACTCGGTAATGTTATCAAAGTGCACTCACCCACCGCCATATTCGCACACTAACTGATCTGCTCTGCTCTGGTGTGAGTGAGTGTCTGTGTGTGTGTTATTTATACCTGACCGATTGATCATCGATTTTGATCACCTCCACTTTTCGCAGTTCAGCTCTCGCCAGTTTGGGTAGTGCAATGTCGTTTTTCCACACTTTTATTGTTTATATTTCATCTGCCCTACCTAGCTCACCTGCCTGTTGATTCCTGTTTTATTTTGGTGTTCACTGTTTTATTGTTGCCGCAATATCTTTGCCAAGCTCACAGTGTGGCCGGACAATCTTATCAATCTCTTGGACGGGCTCTGTTTTGACTGTACCGTACCACACATCCTTTTTAGCTTTCGCTTGCTGCTCTCAACTGTTTGCAGGGCAATCTTTTCTGTTCTTTCCCTTTTCTTTTTGTTTTGTTTCTTCGCTTTTTCTTTTTTCGATCAATTCCCATTGTTACAACCCGTGTTACTTGCAACAACGTACGGCGTACCTGTTGTCTGCTACTTGTTCTGTTGGCCACTTTCCCGCAAAAAAAGAACACAGATTAAACTACCTCTCTTCTCTGCTGGCTTTTACTTCAGACTGGTCCTGTCGTCTGTCGACAATCAGTCCCTTTGTTTGTCTCTTGTTATTGATTCGCTGTCGTTTATTACAACACCGCCAACAGCACCACTACCAGCAGATTGTCAATTGAATTGTTCCCTTCCCCTATTTCTCGTCTCTTCTCGACACTTCTTCGAAGAAGTTGACTGACTGAGCGAGTGAATCCCCTCTTCAATCATCGATGGTATCTCAATCAACGGCAGCAGTAACAGTTGTGGTGTGCACTCAAAGATAGATCACAGTGGCCTGAACTGCCAAAGACGACAGGGACGAGGGGGCATGGAGTGATGGACAGGACTTCAGAAGAAGAAGAAGAAGTCAGCACCGAAACAGAAAATTCGACACAGAAACAAGAACAGCAGGTCAGTGTTTGGTGGTGGTGGTGGTAGAAACCACCGCAACCAAAACAACAGCAACAGCAATTCCGACGAGTGTTGCCACCATTGTCCTGGTCAGGTAAAGCTGACAAGGTGTTTTGCTGAGGGGAAGACGAGAGAAAGAGAGATTAGGTCGCTCGAGGCATGTTACCACCACCACTACCACCGCTGCCGGTTACTACTACTACTTCAGCTGCTGTTGCTGCTGTGGTTCGTTTGTTGTCCGCACTGTCTCTGATTAGGGTAATGCAATTACCGAGAGAGCAGTGTCTGCAAGTCACTCTGTCGGTCGGTCGGTCGGTCGGTGAGCAATGGTGGCGTGGTGGTGTGTTCCATTGATCGGCGCCATTAGTGCTGCTCGGTTGGGGGAAGGGGAAACAGACGAACTGTTGTTGTTCTCTTTCTTTGCGGGAACAACCACCACCTGCGACCGATCACCTTCTTCAGTGGAGTAAATATGTCGACTGTTGCTCCAGCGCCTTCTCCTCGATTCACCTGTGTCTCTTCTTACCGTCTCCTCTTTTTCGTCTTCATTCACTCTCCTCCTCCTCTCTTCGGCTAATTTGTCTGTCACACTCACTCACTCACTCTCAGAAACTCTCTCAAAGATCGCGCTAATATTAGCGCCCGAGTTGCAGTTGTTCGTTTGTTGGAGCGTAGAAGACAGTCCAAAGTCAGTCAGTCGGCCAGTGGCACTAGTAGACTGAAGGAGGAAGAAGTGCACACTGTGTTTTGCCTATTTTGATGATTTTTCTTTATTACTTACCGTCAAACAATGACTCAAGTTCCTACTGCTGTTGATTCTGTGATCTAAAACTTACACATTCTCAAAGTCATATTGAAATGGCGTCGCCAAATGCTTGTAAACCATCTTTTTGGTGGTGGCGGTCGATGAACCTCCTTCTTCTTTCACCTCTACTTCTTTTTGGGGGCTCTTTGACCTCGGTAAATAGCTCGAATGCCAATTCCACAGTCGCCACCAGCACCAGCCTCAGTTCTTCAGATCATCCTCAACTTTCCTCAATTGCCATCTCACCGGTTCAAAACGTTAGCAAAGTTTCTGAAAATGCCGAGCAGCTTCCTCAGGCTGAAGCGTTGCGCTACGTTTCCAGTCAACGCAGCTTATCATCTTCCTCACTTGATGAAAGCTTATCATCGAACAACAGCAATTTAACTGATGTGGAGATCAGTCAACGCCACCAGCAGCTCTCCAATCGAATGCTGGTGGCGTTGAAGCTGCTGCAGCTCGTCCAGCAGTACTCGGCGGTGAATGAAAGCTCTTTAGCGGATGAACTCGCAAGCACTCAAAACAACGGAACCTCCGCCAGCTCTGAGTCTCGGTCTGTCACCTCGTGGCTTCGCTTTCGGCGACCTCAGAAACCCCATCATCAGGAAAGTACACAAACTGCTCCAAACTCTGCTGGTGCCCTTTCCCTGCTGGCCAACTTTGCCTCCAGCGGCAGCCACCACCTTCCGCAAACTTCACCTCAGCAGCGACTTTCCTCCTCCTCTTCTTATCATCAGCAGCATCACTCAAACAATCCCTTCATTGCCCATTCAAACTCCTTCTCCTCTAAGATGCCGCACTCTAAAAACCAAAACCACAACCACAACTCACTCTTCTACTCGCTGGACGACGCCAACGGCATCGACTACTGGCTCAAGTTTCTTGAAGATGCAAACTTTGAGGAGCGACTGCCGCCGCTGAGTGGTGGTCAACTTGCTGAGGGCGGAGGAGGCGGTGGTGCCTTTCAAATTGGCCTGCCGAAGCTAAAGGAGAAGACGCTGCTGAAGATGAAGCCAATGTCCGGTGGTGGTGGTAGCCTCAGCAGCAGCCCCTTCAAAAGGGTCAAGGCGAATCGGTACCGAAGCAAAACGACGGCTGGAGGACATCAACACAGCGGTCGCAATCATAACAGTCATCATCAGCAGCATCGCCCCCACTTCCACAATAACCAAAGGCACTCAGGTGGTGATGGTCATAGAAAGACCAGTAAAGGTCATCATCCTCAACGCCACCACCACCCCCACCACCACCGACCGCACTACACTCTCGGGTCGATTGAGCCGCTGAGAAATCTACACGTCGGCGAGTCGGCAGACTTTGAGTCTGACAATGGCGGAAGCGGCAATGGACATAACGAACTTTCCCTGCTGACCGACTCTAAACCTACAGATAGCACCAAACAGGTGGCGAAGCAGTCGGCGGCGGAGACGTACGCCGCCGACACCTCGCCGCGCTGTGACAAGTTCACCGACGAGATCTGCATCGACGACTTTGAGTACCCGGAGAATGCTATCCTCGAGGAGATCTTCCAGCGAAAGGACATCTTCCAGCTGATGTACTCGGAGGTGAAGGGCGATGCGCCGCTGGTGGACGGCATTGCCCGGGACGAGGAGGAGAGCTTCTCTCAGGACTACTACTACAACAACAATGACCCCGAGGGGGAGGACTACGATGGAGGAGGAGGAGGTGGAGGATCTTCAAATCGAACTGAATATAATGGTGGAAATTCCGGAAACAGCGGCGGCGACTTTCTCGACGACTCGCCGCCTGATGAACAGCAACAGCAGCACCTTCCGCTGAGCAAGCAGCAACTTCAGCAGCAGCAGCATTCATCCTCTGAGGGAGAAAAGAAGAACAGAGCTTCTAATTCCGGAGGATCTGGTTCTGCCTCCTCTGCAAGCGGTTTTGTCTGTCGCTCGGAGGTACTGTACGCGAAGCCGAAACTGGCCCGCAACATCAAGGGCAAGTGGAAGGTGATTGTCAATGCGGGCGAGTTTACGCAGACCATTCGCCTGGAGAAGTGCACCCGACCTAATGCCGAGTGTCGTTTCATCTCCGACCACAAGTACGACTCGAGGTGTGCGCAGATCAGTGCCATTCACCGGCTGCTCGTCTTTGAAAAGGGCAAAGGTTTGCGATGAGAGGGAGGTTGTTATTTGAAGTTTTTTCTAATTTGTGTTTAAACCTTCAGGCTTTTACATCGACACCTTCCGCGTGCCCACCGCCTGCACCTGTCATGTGATGTCGAGCAAGTCGTCATACCAGGCGGGCGACACGGGCGCCACCACCTCCTCCTCCTCGTCCATCTCTAAACGGGAGAAGATCAAGTCGAACTTGGGCGAAACGCTCTGGTCACTGCTGGGCACTGAACCGGACAGGGGAAAAGGAGGTGGTGGTGATGGTGGTGATCGAAGAGGAGGAGGAGGTAGTCACTACATCGTCGGTTCGGGAGATCACCGCCATCATTCGAAGAGCGGAAACAGCGGCAGTGTCGATCTGCTTAAGCTGCTGCCGCAGCTGACCTCCATTGCGCCGGAAAACGTTCTGCAGCAGCTGCTAGATGAGTATGCTGACTCTCACGGAAACCAAAGAAATCCTTCATCGTCCAGCTCTGCAAACAAAGGCTATGACAATCGAGTGAGCGGTGGTACTCGAACGAGGTACCTGCCGAAAATACCTAAATCCGAGCTTCAGCAGCTGCTGCAGTTTGCACAGGCGCAAAACTCGGGCACGGTGCTCACCGGTGATGACAGCAGTTCTGGAGAGCACAGCAGTGGCAGTGGCAGTGGAAGTCAGCACAAGAGGAATCGCATCTCTGAGGGCTCCTCCTCTTCTTCCTATCTTCAACACTCTTCAAAAGCAGGTACCACCGGCACCACCACAACGACCATCGTCAACTCAAGCGACCGAGGAGCACCGGTGGTGCAGGTGATTCACGTGCCGGTCACCACCTCGGAGATG